GTTTGGGCAATCAAGCGTAGCTTATTTGGGGCATATAATTTCAGCTAAGGGCGTAGCGGCTGATCCTGAGAAGTTAGCAGCTATGAAAGAGTGGCCTAAACCATCCAGTGTTACAGCTTTGCGAGGCTTCCTTGGGCTCACTGGGTATTACCGAAGGTTCGTCGCTGGGTATGGCAAGATAGCAAGACCTTTGATTCTGTTGTTGCGCAAGGATGGGTTTGTGTGGACTGAGGAAGCTGAGAAATCTTTCCTGAGACTTAAGAAGGCTATGACAACGCTCCCAGTCTTGCAACTTCCTGATTTCACTAAGCCATTTGTAGTGGAAACCGATGCTTCGGGGACGGGTATTGGAGCTGTTTTATCACAAGCGAACCGTCCTATTGCGTTTATCAGCAAAGGGTTTTCAGTCAGTGGAAGGGTGAAGTCGGTTTATGAAAGAGAGCTGTTAGCTATTGTTTTTGCAGTCAGCAAATGGAGGCATTACCTTACCGGAAATCAGTTCACAATTACAACGGATCAAAAGAGTTTGAACCACCTTTTGGAGCAGCGCGCTGTGTATATTGAGCAGCAGAAGTGGGCTGCCAAATTACTGGGATTGAACTACACGATCGAATACAAACCAGGGAAAGACAACAGGGTGGCAGATGCTCTTTCCAGCCAGCGTCCAGCGGTGGAAATGAAGGAGTTTCAACTCACGGCTCCCTTGTCTATTGACCTTGTTGCGTTAGCAAGTCAGGTAGAGAAGGATGAACTGTTACATGGGATTATTCGAGGCCTGCAAAAGGGGGAGAAGGTTAGAGATGGTTACTATTTGAAGAACGGGATTTTTTTTCATGATGGGAGGCTGGTGCTTCCATCAGAGTCCTCATTTATTCCAACCCTGTTGAAGCAATTTCATAGCAGTGCCATTGGTGGTCACGAAGGAGTTTTGAAAACGTTTAAGAGGATGGCTAGGGAAGTGGTTTGGAAAGGAATGCGTGGAGATGTCACCGAATTTATCAAAGGGTGTGATGTGTGTCAGCGGAACAAGTATTCCACATTGTCTCCTGCAGGTCTACTGTCTCCATTACCTATTCCTTTGCAGGTGTGGTCCGACATAAGCCTAGACTTTGTGGAAGGCTTACCTGTTTCGAAAGGATTTGATGTCATTTTGGTTGTGGTGGATAGACTATCCAAATATGCGCATTTCATTCCGTTGAGACACCCGTTCACAGCAAAGAGCGTGGCTGAGGTTTTTATTAAGGAAATCATATGGCTGCATGGTTAGCCTGAAACAATGGTTTCTGACAGGGACAAAGTTTTCTTGAGTAAGTTCTGGGAAGCTCTGTTTGCTAGTCAAGGAACGGCCCTTCACAAGAGCACGGCCTATCATCCGCAATCAGATGGCCAAACGGAAGTGGTTAACCGGTGCCTGGAAGCATATCTTCGTTGTTTTGCAGGCAGGAAACCCTCCTCGTGGTCGCAGTGGCTTCCTTGCGCAGAGTACTGGTACAATACCTCTCATCACTCTTCTACTAATGTCACTCCGTTTAAAGCATTGTATGGTAGGGACCCTCCGAAGCTGTTGAGGTATGGGGATGTCCCAACTGCTAATGCTGAGGTAGAGGAGATGATCCAGAGCAGGGACTCCTTGTTACATGAGCTGAGGGATAATTTGAAGGTGGCTCAAGAGAGGATGCAAGGTTCGGCTAATAAGAAACGCAGAGATGTTGAGTTCAAGGTGGGAGATTGGGTTTTCCTTAAGTTACGACCCTATCGCCAGATGTCTGTTGCTTCTAGGCGTTCTGAGAAGCTGTCTCCCCGGTTCTTTGGTCCCTATCAAGTGTTGCAGCGTGTGGGAAAGGTTGCGTACAAGTTGGCACTCCCATCGCATAGCATGGTTCACCCCGTGTTTCATGTTTCCCAGTTGAAACAGGCCGTGGAACCTCGGACCAACGTGCATGAGCTCCCTTTAGTCCTTTCGTCGTCGTTAGATTGGAATACTGAGCCTGATGAGATTCTGAGCATTCGGAAGTCGCCGGAGACTCAGCAGACGGAGGTGTTTTTAAATGGATGGGGTTTCCGGACTTTGAATGTTCGTGGGAACCGGTCACTAAGCTTGCGGAGCAGTTTCCCCACTTCCAGCTTGAGGACAAGCTGGGTCTTCTGCGAGGGGGTAATGATAAGCTAGCTGTGCCACTAGCTTTCGTGCAGAGGAAGCAAAGGTCTAAGAAGAAGAAGGCTGAGATGTGAAGCGGGAGAAAGAAGAGGAAGTTGTATTTGAGTTTTCAATAAAAGACCAAAACGTTGTCGTTTCATTTAAGTTTGGGTTTTGTATTTAATGTCGAGTGGTTGATACATTTGGGGATATCAAATGATTAATTCAACAAACCTTATCCTTATCTTATCTTCTCTCTTTCCTTAACCTCCATTCTTATCTCGGATAAACCCTAGTTTATCAAGATCCTATAGTTAACGACTGTGACAAGAAAACTACCTTGTTGTGGCAGTTCAGAAACTCATCTTTTTCTTGTGCGTGTAGCTGTCACTTCAGCTGCTCTTCCACTTTGACAATTTATCTATCTATCTTACAATCCATCAAACGAACAAAAGATTCGGACTAGTCAACAACATGACAAGTATAGAGAATTCCATGTCTTCAAAGAAACTTGAGTTAGTTAATTTACCAGAGAGTAGTAAACAAACCTGAGCGAAAACGAAGATTCCCACAACGGTTCAATCTCCGACAGTGAAGCGCTTGAGAATTGCAGTGCCAACAAGAAAATTAATTGGTGGGTTGAGGACTGAAGTTTCTTCATGTCAATCGAAGAAGAAATCAACAAGGTAACTCGATTTCTTCAACTTAATTTCGTCAAAAATTAATCTTTGGTACAGAAAGAAGCTTTGGATCTCTTCTTCGTTGTAGATGTAAAATAAGAGCATGTTTAACGATGGATCTTAACATGATCTCTTAGGTTAATAGAATTAAAAAAAAAAAGAAAAATGGCATTAACAGAAGACACATATCTTATTTAGGGGAGCGAAGGCACACCTCTTACGAGCTGTGTGTCAAAACACAATTTGAGAGAGGAGCGGTGCTGCGTTCATCCCTCGGTTTCTCTCTTCTCAAAGGCAAGAAGACGCTTTCTTTCTCTCCATCTTATTCTCTCCACCAGAATCGGCAGAGGTGTGAAGGGTCTTTTTTGTGTGTTTATCATGGAGGAAGCAAGGAAGAGACTTTGGTGTTCCCATCGATCTCTAGTGATGAATTTAGATCGATTGTTCGGTGCCGTAAAGTTCCTTTGAATTATACTTCATCTGTTGACTAACAATTCAACGGAGATTTAGTGAAGAAGAAGAAGCTGAGTGATGAGAAGGTTCATGATTGGGAAAAAGGTTGGTTACAAGGCAGTGATTGACGGCGAGAAGGTGGTTGTGTTTAACAAAGGATTGACTCGAAGATCTGGGAAGGAGTCAGATCCTTTTTACTAAAAATGTCAATGTTTTACTAAAGAGGAGACGGGGAGGGGGAGGTACGTATCCTCTGGTTTGCTTTCTCCCAATATAGGAAACAGTTGTAGACGTGGTTAAGTGATGGTAGATGTGGTCAAGTGATTGTATATTCCTAATATATTATAATTTCTTCAATACGGAATCCTACAGTGAGAAAGGTGTTTGATTTCTTCTTGAAAAGGTGTTATTTTTCTGTTTTTGGTGTTGGTATATGAAACTGTTTTGAGTTGCTTTTATAAGGTTAAGAACGAAGAAGCTACTGCTTCTACTATTGATTCAGAAGGATGGTTGAAGACTGGAGATTTGTGTTACATTGACAGTGAAGGTTTTGTCTTTGTTGTTGATAGATTTTAAAGAAGAAGAAAGAGAAGAAGAAGGTGAAGCATGAGATTTGTGTTTGCATAATGCTATGAACCAAGCACCGTTTATGTATCCCTCGTGGCTTGGCGTCGAACGTTGGTGGTTATATTGGGATCACTGGCATTCGGGTACATGTCACTGGAGTTTGGATACAAGCCTTTCCTTGAAAAGGTTGAACAATATGAACGATATCTTCAATCTCAAGCTTCTCAGCACCAACAACATCAACAACAACAAGGTCTGCTGTATCCACTTTCTCTCTTTCCAAGCTCGATTATTTCATTTGTGTAATCAGAGATAAACCTATTATGCCGTGTGAATGTGTGTGTGTGATTGTGTTTCATCTTCTTGTGGTTTCAGGTTTTAGGAAGGAATTAGATAAGTTTGTTGTGTGAGGTTCATGTATGTGTTTGTGTTGATTATCTTGTGTGTGTGTGTTTCAGGTTTAAAGTTTAGAAGAATTTATTGTTGGCGCTTCTCGAAGAAGAGTGGCAAATAAAGGTTAAGCTCTTGTGTCTATGTATGTGGTGTTTTGGCTCAGTATATAGATCAAAAGGATGTCTGTGTGTGTGTTTCTAAAACTTTGTGATAGGAAAATTAGATGGTTGAATTGGTTGTAAATCACTAAGATCAAAGGTCTCTTAGCAAAACCTCTTAACTTCACTTTAATATTTAATAAATCACTAAGAATCCCCAAGTGGGTTTCACCAGTAAACATGCTCTAAGTCAACATTTCGGTGACACACAATATATTATCTTAAACATGTCATTTTCTTTATAACTAGGATAAGACCTGCGTTTTGCGCAAGGTGAATGTATGTAATTAAAATATAAAATTTTAGTATTGACAAATTTAAAATTTACATATGATTGGTTTTATATGTATTTGAAATTTTAGAATTCTGGAATATTTATATAATTACATCAGAAACAATCCCCCTATATATTAAAAGAGAAGTCACTTTAGTGATTTCTTGACACGTGTCACTCATATAGAGTCTCTCACGAAAATTCTTTTAATTTCATTGGTTGCTTTCTTTTTCATTAATTTTTTTTTTTTAAAAATACCCTAACCACAATCTGTTTGGTGCCGTCTATCTTCTTCTCTCTTTTGCAGCCATTGCTTTTTTTTTTCTTGACTTTTTTTTAAAAGGATACCCTAATCTAAAGCAAAATCTGTTCGGTGCCATCTCTGGAGGGTCACACTTCTCTCTTCGACAGCCATGAATCATCTCCTTCTCTCCTTGATTCTCTCATTCCATGGCTAAGAATCATCTCCTTCTCTTTTCAATTCTCTCGGATTCCACTGAAGCTCGAGAAAACCGATTCCAAATCGAGATAGAAGCTTGTTGAACTCAATATTCTTGACGAGGATACTCGAATCGAGATAGAAGGTTTCAGGACTGGAACATACTTGCGGCTGGAGATGCACAATGTTACTTATGAGATGGTCGACTTCTTTGATTCGTGTCATCCAATTCTTATTGGAGGTATTGGTTACAGAAGGGATAATGCTGGATATATGCAGGTAAGGCTTACAATAATTTTCTCATTTAGTTCATTTCATTATGAAATATCATATGTTTTTGCTTGTCATTAGGCACGGTTGAAGAAACATAGGTGGCACAAGAAAGTACCGAAAACAACAGATCCCATTATTGTGTCTATTGGATGGAGACGTTATCAGACTATTCATGTATATGCCATTGAAGATCGCAATGACAGACATCGAATGCTCAAGTATACTCCAGAAGACATGCACTGCCTTGCTACGATCTAGGGTCCTCTTGTCCCACTCAACACAGGCTTTGTCGCTTTCCAAAACCTGTCAAGCAATCAGGTATGCAAATGAACTGTTCTGCTTGAGATTTTGATCCAAATTTATATTTGGAGTGTGATTCAACTTTTCTGATATATATATTTGGTACTAATACTAGCAATCAGGTAAACTTACATGTGAACTGACAAAAGAAAACATGTCTTGGTGTGTGTGTGTTCAGGCATGGTTTAGGATAACAGCGACATCTGTAGTACTAGAGTATAATCACCAAGCCCGTATCGCAAAGAAAATCAAGCTGATTCGGCACCCATGCAAGATCAAGAAAAAAACTGCATTCATCAAGGACATGTTCACTTCTGACCTTAAAATAGCTCGATTTGAAGGTTCATATGTCCGTACAGTTAGTGGCATTAGAGGACAAGTTAAAAAAGGTACGCTTGAGATTTTTTTGTCTTCATTTTTTGTTCGTTCTTCTGGTTCTCTAATAATAGCATTCCCTTTTTGTCAGGCTGGAAAGAACATGCTAGATAAAAAAATGCACAAGAAGGGATCGCAAGGTGTACCTTTGAAGATCAAATAAAATGAGCGACATAGTATTCTTAAAGGCTTGGCCAACAGTGGAAGTTCCACAGTTTTAAAATTTGTCTAACTACAGCCTTGCAACAATAGGAGAAGACGTGAACATGGATGAGAACGTTTAGGGAGCTTTGTAGTGAGCATAATATTCATATTCCGGTGAATAAGGATTCACTCTACAAGGTATAAGAAAAGTCTATTAAACATTGTATATATAGGAAGGTGACGATTCCCACAATGAAATTTATCTCTTTTTTTGTTGTTGTTGTGTGTAGCCAATCTTAAGGAAGACGAAGAAGTTCAATCCATTGGTGATACCAAAGAAACTACAAGAATAACTACCGTTTGCTTCCAAACCCAAAAATAAACCAGTGAGAAAAAGACCGTCATTAGATTCTAGAAGATGTGTTGCTTTTGCTATAGTCCAGCAGTTGAAGCTGATGCATAAAGTCAAGGTAATGTTGTCTATTTGACTAATTTATATGATTTTAGTATAAAATTCAATGAATTTCTGTTTGGTTCGGCTACACTAGATCAAATTTGGTCTATTTTTTATAGCAGTTTTTTTGGATATTAGAATCATAGTAGTAGAACTGTGGTTTCAGACTTTGGTTTAAACATTTTGGCTAGGATTTAATTTTGTGTTCTGTAGTCATGGAAGGAGTTCACATTCAAATCACGTCCTTAAAAGATTCTTCTTGTATTTGTTGGATAGGTTTCTTAATAATCTGCAGTTGGTGACAACCATATGCTACGAAAACATAAAGCTGATGGGTCGAAAAGGATTCAGTCTCTACCTTCGATATACCAAGAGGTAATTTAATTTTCGTCTATTAATAACTTTCCTTATTATTCCCCAAGGAAAACTTATGCATCTTGATATCTTATTTATTACATTGTTGAAATGAAATTTACCTTATGGATTCTAATTAGCTTGGTAGTTTTTAATAACTTACCTTTCTAATATTATCTTCTTGCGCAAGTTAAAATTATATCAATATGCAAATCAACGATTAAGAATCCATTTTTAATAACTTATCTTTCTAATATTATCTTCTTGCGCAAGTTAAAATCTTTCTTTAAACGATTTAGAATCCATTTAATATGAATACTATAACGGAAATGTCATTATTAGAAGAACTGATATATATAGGCGACCCCCAAGATTCTAAAATACAAACATTCTTCTCTTTTGCTTTCACTTTTTAAAAAGAAGGGCATTGGTTCAAGCCTCCAAAAGCGTTGTTTCTTATGTTATAGAATTAAAACCATGTAAAGATACATTGGGTATTGAAGTTAGGATTATACGCCTGTGGAAAAACTATAACAAAGAATCAGGAAACACCATTGAAATGGTGTTTGTTGATAAAGAAGTAAGTAAATATATTACTATATTTTTGACATCTCATATTCGTCTTTTATTTTATATTTACTATACAATAAACGCTACTTTGTTATACTTAAAAATACTGTTTCACCACTTTGTCTAACTCATGACTTTTATATACTGTATCGGGGGACAAGAATTCATGCTTCAGTTGGTGAACAGCTGATCAAAAAGTATGAACACAAGTTACATGAGGGAGATGCGATTGTACTTCAATTGTTCAAAGTGTACAATGATATTGGTGACTACTGTACAACCACACATCCGTACAAAATTGGCTTCTTTCCAACAACTTTTGTTGGCAAAGCTGATGAGTTTCCAAGTGAAGTTCCCGAAAAGTATTCTGCGGACTACGATGATATCCTTGGTGGAAAGCTTGATAACAGATGTTTGGTTGGTGAGTCAGTTTCATTAACATTGTTTTTACATGTACTTTGGATTTGTATTAACATAAGTCGCGTGATTAAAATTGCCACCAGACTTGTTTTAAGTTAAATGTTCTTTTGGTTGTGTCATACTTGTTCCTGATTTTTTTTCTGTTTTTCTAATGTAGATGTTATTGGCCAAATAGTTAACTTCAGTTCTCTAGAAAACAAAATGATAAAAGGAAAAGATAACATGAGGCTCTTGATTGAGTTGTGTGACCAAAAGTAAGCTTAAGTACTTATGGTATGAAAATGTACTTCTTATTTTATATTACTTATGGATTATATTTGATTTTTATCATATTTTCTTTTAATATGCCACTGTTTTTAAATTTTTTGTTTAAAAACATAAATTTTTGAATTAAATAGAAAATATAAAAATTACAGAATTTATACAATACAATTTCACTTAGTGATAATATAAAGGTGAGATTCTAATATGGACATAGACAGTGGAAGAAGCATCCTTCGCCCTGGCCGATCTCACCTGCTTTGTGACCTTCATGTAAACAAGTAGTAGCAAAGTGACACATACCAAAATAAATGCGAGCTGTAATCGCATGAAGTACAAGGAAACGATTGAGAACACTAAGAATGCTAAGATGACTAGCTCCCAGATGACAAAGACTAGAACATCTACCATGCATCAAACCCAAATAGCAGCTTTATTAATAATATGCACTTTGGTAAGTCAAAAACGCAAAACAGCTTATGATACAATCATAATCGTACAACATACAAATGAGATTGAAATATTCGAAACAGAAATAAAAATTTATTCAAGATTCAATGGGTAGATTTTATAGGTTTCCTTTTAAGATCACTCCTTGTAATCGCAACATCTCGTGATAAAAATCAAAAACCAAACTAAAACCATAAACAGTGATTCATAGAACCAACAAGTCACCTCCCTATCTTTGGATCATCAAGCCGGTTCCGATCAACAGCAGCCCATGAGGTGATACCAACTCTGTTCACAACACTCTGAAAAAAACTAAGCTCATATATGTTACCAAAAACTTAGAAGATCCTGCAATACTTGGAGATCAATGAGTTCACTATTGAAGATCCGTTTCCTTCAAAATCTAATTCAACCGATATCAAAGTATTTTTTCATGCCCGCACAAGGTGCGGGCCAGTCACCTAGTTGTAATTAAAACTGTAGATCAAAGCTTATAATTTAATGGACCCGATTTCATATATCTTTTCATTTTTCAGTGTTCGAGTGATGAAAAATAAACGGAGTGTCACTGGGCTTGATTGATAGAGTATTAGCAAGTTCCCTAATGCTTTCTTAAGAAGCAGTTGGTAAAATATTTGCATTTAAAATATATAAAGCTTAAAAATTGATTTAATATAATTTATTTATTTGTCTAATAATATTAGAAAATTTTATTTTTACAATTTTTTTTTTAAAAATAATTTTATACAAAATTAAGTTAATTTTTAAATTATTAAAAAAAGTATTTTAAGTTTTTCAAATACAAATAAACAATTTAAAATTAATTATGGTCATGATTTAACATAACCATAATGATTTAAAAAATTAATTTTTTAAAATTAACAAATAAAAAATTAACTCAGTTTTATATCATGATTTAACAATTTAAAAATTAATTATGGTTATGAGAAGTTTACATTCACGTGTCAATCCTATTTATCTTCAATTTTTTCTCTTGTTGTGTTTTTTTTTTGGTTATTACTCTATATAAATATTTATTTTGAAGTTTATTCTCATTTTCTTTGTTTGTTTTGACCTGAGATTTAGAAAGTACTTAAGATTTAAAAAATTATAGAGATACATACTTAGGTTAAGATCTGCACTTTATGCACAATAAATATTTATATTTATTATTTATTTTATACATTTCTGCATATTATAAAATAATAAATAAATATATATATATATATATATATATATATATATATATATTAAATAATTAAGAAATCAGTTAATAGTGTGTAATAAATTGGCGTATGCATATAAAGTTAACTATCACTCTTGTTTATTCGCAATTAGGGTAAATAAATCAAAATAATCAATCTTATATACTGTATATGATATATAATTAAATTTAAATGATATAAACATAGTAATATAGCAAATTTTTAATATGGATATTTATTAAATGAGGTTTCTACTCATATGATTTTATGATTTTTTTGCATATTTGTGTAACAAAACTTTACACCAACGATTTTTTTTTTTAATGTGAGATGTTTAATAGTTTCAATAATTTATAATTGTTGGGGTCAAAATCGGTACGACGGAATTAATAGCCAAAACTCCCCGCAAAAATACAAAAGGAATAGTTTTATAAAACCCGAAGAGTCGTTTTATAAAACTCAAAGTCATTTATAAAACTCGCAGACCGTTTTATAAAACCCGAGAAGCCGCATAAAACTCGAGAAATCGTTTAATAAAACTCGAAAAATCGTTTTATAAAACTCGAGAAATCGTTTTATAAAACTCGAGAATCGTTTTATAAAACTCGAGAAGCCGTTTTATAAAATTCGAAGATCGTTTTATAAAACTCTAGAATCGTTTTATAAAACTCGAAGATCGTTTTATAAAACTCGAGAAGCCGTTTTGTAAAACTCGAAAAGCCGTTTTATAAAACTCGAAAAGCCGTTTTATAAAACTCGAGAAGCCGTTTTATAAAACCTGAAGATCGTTTTATAAAACTCGAGAATCGTTTTATAAAACTCGAGAATCGTTTTATAAAACTCGAGAAGCCGTTTTATAAAACCCGAAGATCGTTTTATAAAACTCGAGAAGCCGTTTTATAAAACCCGAAGATCGTTTTATAAAACTCGAGAATCGTTTTATAATACTCGAGAATCGTTTTATAAAACTCGAGAAGCCGTTTTATAAAATTCGAAAAATCGTTTTATAAAACTCGAGAATCGTTTTACGAAACCGCAAAGAAAACTGAAACAGCCGTAAAACGCGAACTAGTCACGACTAGTTCGCCCACGGGCGAACTAAGCCGAGCCGGCTTAGTTCGCCAATGGGCGAACTAGGAGACACTCGACTAGTTCGCCCATCGGCGAACTAAGCCGGCCCGGCTTAGTTCGCCGATGGGCAAACTAGGATCACTCGACTAGTTCGCCCATCGGCGAACTAGAAACTTCCTGGACGTCCCGAGCCTCGGTCTCCCGCATTCCCGATTCGAAACTTACGTCTTTCGACACGGTCGCATTCTGAACCATGGCCGAAACATCTCCCGTTCCATCTCGATCCGACCTATCGTTCGAGTTTTACGATAAAAACCGTAAAACTTCGCTTTCTCGATAAAGAACTCGAAGAAATCGTATAAAAGGGCGACGGTTGACGAAACACCGAACATTGCCTAAAACATACGATTTATTCGAGATTTCTCGTCCAAATCGTAAAAAACGCGTTTTTAATAAAAACGTCGAGTAAATCGTAAAAAACGCGTTTTTAATTAAAAAGTCGTGTAAATCGTAAAACCTTATGATTAACTCGAGGAATTTATTAAAAACGACTTCAGATCAGGAAACGATCCCGTAAAAAGTCGGAAAACGTATTTATCGCAAAAACGGCCCGGAAGGGCCTAAAACGCGAAAAACCTATCTCGTGATCTTAACTGAATCTAACCCGCAGATTTGATAACGTTTTGACGGTTTACTCGTAGGAGGAAAATAAAAGTCAATTGTGAAGATAAAAGGAAGGTTTGAAGAAAAATAGAAGATTTCCGCGGAAGAAAAGGAAGGATCGAGAAAAATGGAAAATTCCCGATATAGTCAAATCTGGGCGAAATGGAAAGACCGGATGGCCAAGGCGAGGAGTATATAAATAAGAGGTCTAGGGAAGAAGCAAGAGGTACGAGTTTTTCAGAGCTTTCACCACCAAACTTAGCATTTAGGCAATTTTCCGTTTTCGTTATCGAGCTGCGTCTCAACTAGGGTTTTAGTCTTAGATTGCTAGAACTAGGAATTTTGCCGATGGCTCACGCAGCTAAGGCAACTCTCGTTGTAACCGTTCTTACACGAATTCGGAATAAGAATCCTTCTTGCTTTCAATCTCGTTTTTATTTTCATATCTTTCAATTTATTCATATTAATCGCGTTCTTGGTTACTTGTCGTTGGCTTTCGCAGAGATCCGGTTCCTCTGGAAAATTAGGGTTTTCCTAACTTTCCTTATTTTACGGAAATCGACAGGTGTGAATTTCGGTTCCCACAGTTTGGCGCTCGAAGGAGGGGGGGGGGTCGGATTCTCTTACACAATAATCGCTAAAACGAACGAGAAATAACATTCCTAATCTGAACGGCGACGTCATCTCGTTCGAGAAAAGAGCAACGATTGATTCGGTCAAACCTCTCAACGATCTTCTCGTTATTGAGATTACGATCCAGAATATGGATGTCGCAAGGATATTAGTCGATACTGGAAGCTCGGCTGATATCATCTTCAAAAATACTCTCGAGAGAATGGAAATCGATCTGTCTGAAATCGCAGAAAACGTAAGCCCGCTAGTAGGACTCTCGGGAGAAATCACTATGACCCTCGGAACGATCAACTTGGCAGTTCGCGCCGGGAGCATAATGAAAAACGTCGAATTCGAAGTCGTCGACCGACCTATGTCTTACAACGCAATCGTAGGGACACCGTGGTTAAATTCGATGCAAACGATTCCGTCGACGTACCATATGTGTCTCAAGTTCCCAACTCCGAACAGAATCGAGACTATATGGGGAAACCGACGAACTTCGCAAGTTTGCTACGCCGCGGATTTAAAACAAAAAAATCTGCCGATCGATATCTCTTCCAAAAAGAAAAAGAAGTCGACGTCCCTCGACAATGCCCCAGAGCAAGATAAAACAGAACTCTTCTGGCAGTTGTGAGCGGCCGAGGCTTTGGAAGGTAAACGCGAGCCAACCTGCGGACCCGTCATCTCGGTATACATCGACGAGAATTTTCCAGAGCGCTGTGTCGAAATCGGTGCGAACCTGAGCGAGACTTTAAAAGTCAAACTCCTGACATGTCTAAAACAAAACTCGAACACGTTCGCTTGGACTGCGGAAGATATGCCAGGGATCGACATAAACATCACATGTCATGAACTCAACGTTGACCCGACATCCAAACCCGTCAAACAAAAAAGACGAAAACTGGGGCCGGAACGCGCCGAAGCGGTCAACAGCGAAGTCGACAGACTCCTCAAAGTAGGATCGATCACGGAGGTTCGGTATCCTGACTGGCT